TTGAGTAGAATGATGCTGCTGATGTGATACTATATTGAATATCGTGACAGTAAAGTTAGTTAATATACTAGTTACTACGATGTTTCTTATGGTCTGGCGATTTATACTGTCACGATTGTCATCGTCGCGCTGTAGTATAGGAGCCACGCATACGTTATTGAAGCTAGATAAGTCACGTTTGTGAATTCTTGCTAGTTCGGGGTCCTACTTTTTCTGTCGACCCGTGGAAAATTACGCTAGTGATAGTTGGGATCACGCTTGTTTTGACCATCCGAGTAGAGATGCTTGTTTGAGTAAAGGTGTTTGTTTTGACCATCCGAGAAACTTTATAGCACATGTTTGTATAACGCTAGTGTAGATAGTGCTAGTAAAGATCACGCTTGCTTGGGTCACACTAGTGAAGGAATTTAGGGCCACGTTGTTTTGGATTACGCCAGTTAGTGTCACGCTTGTGAAGGTCAAGGTAAAGCTTCTTCCTGAACACGCAACTGCCGACTCATCGATGAGCCCCGACCCCTCCTTGGGACTCACAGTTCTCCGACTCTCTGGTTATAATTCCTCAAACCAATCAAAGTTACTTGGAATTTTCATCAAAAATTTCAGAATATACTGTATGGAACCTCAAACATCGTGAATGAGCATCAGTTTGAATCGGTTCCTTGCACAGAAGTGTGAATGGAGTACCAGTTAGATCCGGTTCCTTGCACAGAAGTGCGAATGGAGCGCCAGTTAAATCTGGTTCCTTGCACAGAAGTGCGGTTGGAGTATCAGTTAGATTTGGTTCCTTGCACAGAAGTGCGAATGGAGTACCAGTTAGATCTGGTNTGCCTCTATATTCTCCTTATTATTCATTATGCATTAATCGTTATCTCGATATTGTACTATACCTGTCTCTTATACACATCTAGATGTGTATAAGAGACAGGTCAGACTTCGATGTCAGCATTGATCTTTCACATGTCAGGACTCGCAGTGATTGTCTCGCGTGCGAAGGCCTGCTGATCTTCACCGGCTGTAATTGGGCCATTAAAACCGGCGTTGATACGGCGGGACGCTGTCTTCCGGGTGTGTTGAGGAAGACCGGCTTTTATTCAACAATACTAGCTGAATAAAACGCTTAATAATGTGCGGTATACATGCAAACCACAGCATAACCTGTCTCTTATACACATCTAGATGTGTATAAGAGATATGATGAATAGCGACAATATAGTAGGTTATTTTGTATGATGCGATTGACAATCGCAATACAATTTATTTCTATTCACAATGTGATGAGCAAGGGCAATACAATAGGTTGATTTTCGCAATGTGATGAATAACGGTAATATAATCTGTTGTTCACGATGTGACGAATAACGGCAATATAGCAGCTAGGTATTCACAATATGTTGCCAAGCGCTAACGCAATGATTTGTTATTCATGTTATGATGAACATAGAAAAACGTGGTGGTCCTTATCAGTGTGATGAGCGACAATATACTAGGTTCCATTCACACAATAAAGAACAATATGTATATTATTATAAACAATAACACCACACAAGTTATTATAGCATCACTGACGAAGTCAGCAATGCGAATCAAATCATGAAATGTTAACGTTTTTTCATAAGATGTAAGGTTAACTATCTCAACTTCTCCTCACTTTATTCTTAATTTATTGACAATATAATAGCTACTGGAAGAGTTCCCTGCATTAATAATAACGTAACAGTAACCTGCTCACATGAAGGTCTTCTTCAGGAGCGACGAGGATCTATTAGTGACGGTAGTTAGGTGTCTAGNTGAAGCTTAATACTATTATCGTAAATCTCGGTTAAAGCTTAAGTCCTAAACTGTGACAGGCTCATAGATTAACAATGACGCAGTTCATTTGGGATTTGTTTTGTATGGAAGGTTAAGAAGTTAACGAAACTTTAATAATAACATTCCGGTTTCTCCATATGAAGCGCAATCGCCGGTCAAACGACCTTGACCTCCTGTTGGCCAGGAATTTAAAGCGAAGTCGATCCTTCATGGCGAAATGATATATCCTTACTGATATGATATATCCTTATATAATGAAATATCTTTATATATCGTTATTTTTTCCGTTTCCTAATATTTCATGCAAAAACAGTTCGATTTATTCCTCTCGGAAATGACTAGATGTATAAAATGTTCAGTTTATAACAATAAAGTTTAAAATATTTATGATCCGTTCCAGGATGCCTGAAAATTTTAAACTTCCGATAATTCGGCATCAAATGAAATGACCTGAATACACAAGCAAAATATGCTCAACTTTCGATAATCATGAAAACTTAGACGCAATAGGAAATTTTGCTGTGAACGCATTCACTAACACGAAAACTATGTATTCGAAACTACTCGAAAACTACCTGTTTAATCATGAATTATAATTTCTATTTTTTTAATTATTGAATATTTGACTGTTCATTAATAATAATCATGTTAAAAGTGTGATTGAATATATGACTGGTAATTAATAATAATCTTGTTAAATGTTTGATTGAATATTTGACTTTATCATCAATAATTTTGTTTAAAGTGTAATTGAATATATGACTGTTTATTAATAATCACTTTGTACAACGTGTGATTGAACATTTGACTGCAGTCAGACTTCGATGTCAGCATTGTGATTGCCTCGCGTGCGAAGGCCTGCTGATCTTCACCGGCTGTAATTGGGCCATTAAATTGGCTGTAATTGGGCCATTAAAACCGGTGTTGATATGGCGGGACGATTCCTTCCGGGTGTGTTGAGGAAGAACAGGGTTTTTATTCAACAATACAAGCTGGATACAACGCTTAATAATGTGCGGTATACATGCAAACCACAGCATAACTGCGCGTAGAATACGCAGTGAAAATTCACGCAGGACAATTATAAATTCAGGATAATGTATGAACTTCATGCGAATCTTGTTATATTGAGCGAGGGATGCATCGTATATGCAAATGTATGCAGGGTAATTTGATTATGCTGATTAAACAAATAAACATTTAATACTGAACGAAAGCTTTTTTGTTTTAGATTAACAGAGAAAAATCTCGGCTATTAACAACAACCTTCATAATCTCTGAGATGACTTTTGCTTGTGATAATTTCTAGAATTAAATATATGCAGGATAACCTTCTTGATGAAACACACTTAGGAATGAAGTTTTTGTCTATAATCAATTTCATGCAATATCGAAATATTCACACAATTACTCATTCTATTTGCATGTCAATAATTAATGTTATTTTGCCATCGCATTCGGCATTTATCAAAAATTTTAAAGGCGATCATCTCATGAATATAAGTTATTCACTCGGAAAAATAAGTGAGGCTCGGTCCAAATAACGATGCCCTCATTGCTGTTGTGTGAGTTATCCTAGCTCTAAAAAATATAACTCAGTACTCACTGTAGTGAGTGACAGAGAGCGCATTTTCTCGTCGACGAAAACTTGAGGTCACGGACGGACAGACAGACAGACGGACAGACAGACGGACATGGCGAGCACAATAGTGCATTTTTCCATAAAGGAGAAAATGCGCTAAAAACGGCGTAGCAATGCTACGTGCATGAAGTATATGTCACCATTTTGACAATATAACACATTTATTATTCTTATTGTCACGAATTGAGCCAACAAGCTGGCTCAATTCACCAAGTTTCTCACGGGACTCAGCCACCACAGCCACCACAGCCACCACAACCATCATCCATGGTGGATGAGGTGACGCTAAGGAGCCAGCAACATCGCCTAGCCATTCACCACGGTGGATAAGTCATGGTTAACAATGAACGTCATGACACAAAATCTCTTCTCTATAAAATATATTGTGCTAATAGAAAAATTGATATTAATGTGAGTTTGATCTCAATTATTTTTTAATAAGTTCACTTTTTCCACTTTTAATTGACACTTATACCAACAATTGCCAACATTTCGTCTCAGAAAATTGTTTCTTCGAGTGAAAATAATCGGAACGCTGATTAGTGTTCGGTTTAAAATACGTTACTAAATTACGTTACCTTCAATGAACTGGTATTGCATATGACTGCATGTCTTATCAAAATGTCTGACTGAATTATTCGAGTCGAGGTAGATGAAGTGACCGCACTTCTCTCTTCATTTTTGTTCACTATAATTATAAACACTTGGGAGGGGGCAGAAATGTTTTATTATTATAATAATAATTTTTGATTGTATGGTTATTAGTGCTTTCACTGACACTATTGTTTGCATTACTGTTATATTAATATCATTATTTTATATTCATGTTGAAATTGCTTATATTTTCTTATCCTACATTGTTCAAATTATACAATATTAATCGTTGCAAAGATAATTCAAAACGGCAACATTATCATAAATCGACATCATCTATGATCCGACTATACTGCATGCAGGTCTGCAGGTCGGTATTATAGACTCCACATTGTTAGGGTACAATGAGGCGTGAAAAATATATAAAATTATGAGCGTGAAATAATATTGGTTACTGGTCAGATCGATGCAACCAAATGCTCTATAAATCGAGAATAATTATCCATGGAGCATTCGTGTGAAATTGCTAGTTGTTGCTTGCTTTAAATTTCTTATAAGTATAGAAGTAAATGATTAAGAACAGTCGCAGGATAATTTTTTGATTACACAGAATAAATAGTTTTTTTAATTAGGATTTAATCGTTCTACGTTCCATCAGACCTCATTCATGGTTAAAATAAATCGTAGTTATTTTCTGGATTTGTGCGGGACATCGAGTAAGTTATGGGGCTACCTATCATTTCCTGAACCTCGAAAGGCTCACTGTTTTAAAAATGTGTTTATGCTTTATATTTCTACATACAAGCTCTAGGTCTAGGACTCTAGGGCAAGCATACATTGATATTTTGTTATATTACAAGCCGTAACACGATGGCTGACTGGCTGAACTGGCTGACTGACTGGCGACAGGGTATGAGAAGCCCCTTCGGTCGCAGTTTGCAACAGATGGAGTTTAGAAGTGGTCGAGTGCGTGTGTGTCGCTCTGTCTGGTGTCTCGCACAAGTGTCAATTTGCCGGTTGCGCTTCTTAAACATTTCGTAAACTTCTGAAAGTGATGTAAAGTACTGAATTTAGTAATGGAGGTTGTTACTCAAAGGTTTACTGTGATGTTCCTTATGATTGTTGACAATGAACTCTAAAGTTTTGTGAAAGTTCAGCCAGAGAAATACGTTTCCAGTTCCATCCATGCTGTACGGACTACAGACGACTTCCCACGCTGTGAACTTCCTTCCTCTGCATATACTGGTGAGGAATCTCTTCACATGTTTATCCTAAAACAGTTTGTAATTGACTGAATTCAATTGTAAAACTTGAAATTTGTTACAATTGAGTGTACTGGATACTGTTATATGCCTCTAAACTAGCTTGAAGAAATGGTCTAATACGATGATCGGTAGAATTTCAACTAGGATTCGAATTCCTGCGTGATGTCTGCGTGGCGTGAGTGTGTTGGGGACTGGGGTAGATGAGACAACTATACCAGATTTGAAGCAATGCAATTATGACTTTAGATTGTTTCCTCTAAAATTTGAAGTTGAGTAGCCGGTATGGCCCGGCAACTCGGAACCGACCAACCGAATCTCGAAAAGCTCGCGGTAGAACTAGTAGCTACCCATTTTCGATTATTACCGTACCGTACTGTCTTTGTACTAAGTGAACTTATTTACCCTAACTTTACACCCTAACTCATTTTTTATGTCTGTTTTTCCTTGAAAAGGGAACAAAAGTTTCCATCCTAACTACGTATTTATTCTTAAATATAAATTGTGGCAGTGTTGTACGAATTCTAGCAATGTGGACTTTATTTATGAACCTAATTATAAGTAATGCTTGCTCAAAATTTCATTGACCAACTAGGGATGTTAGATTTTCAGTTTCATAGGTCTTTCAGTTTAATAGGTAGGTCTTTCAGTTTCATAGGTCTTTCAGTTTAATAGGGATGTTAGGTTTTCAGTCTAGGTTTAATAGCAATGTTTCAACGAATAGCTAAACTTTAGCCAGCTGAGCAGAAAATGGAATTTCAAAGCCGGCCCCTAGAGGCGGCTGGTCCGGTTCCGGCCACTGCTATCGTTCTGATTAGTAATTTTGGATGTCGAGTCTCGAGACTAATCATGTACCGTATTCCTGTTATGATAGTTGCATTTTGTCCTTTATAGGTAATCGATGGTGTCACTGCAGCATATTCTATGACGAGGCAATGTTAAAAGAATTTTTAACATTTGTCCCGCCTCCTATAACTTATATATAAGTGAACGAGGAATTATTCCAGCAATTATCAGCTGTTCTTTCAAGTTTCGACCTCGGTTTTTTTTTTTTTTGAGGCTCATATGGACAGAGCTTCGTTGTGGTTACAAAAACTAAGTCACGTGATATTCATAACTTGACTTATTCGAAACTCAAGCGCTGCATAGAAATGATTTCTCCTGTTTTGAAAACCGTCACTAGTATTTTAAATTTAAGTAATGATTGAAGCCTTAATTTATTGAATGGAAAAATCTGTTCACCACAACCGCAAATGCCTAAGTATACGCGGTGATTTATTTTTCGAGTACGTTAATGCATAGTGGGAGTTGCTAAAACAATTTTTTCTGTAAAATCGCAATTTAATTATTCCTGTTTTAAACAACGACATGGCGACGCAATTTATTGCGTTATTTCCTAGTTATTGCGTTATTTCTTCGACTGGAAATAATCGCAACGCGTGATTAGTGTTTGGTTTAAAATACGTTACTAAATTACGTTACCCTTCAATGAACTGGTATTTAATATGACGGTAGATTAAGCGTATTTATATAATGTATTTATATGTACCGGTATGCAATAATATAAATATATCTAAACACGCCGTTCTGTTCCGTAAATATATAATATACCTGACCCCAACCGTTCATTTCTCGTTTAAAAATTTCAATCGCGGAAATGACTCGGGCGACCAAATATGGCAAATAATGCTTCTTGTTTCTGGTTCTTCGGATGCTATTAATTTTCTATACACTTCTTTTTGGTCTCGTAGACTTAAAGAGATTGTTTAGATTTCGACACTAATTAAATTTGAAAGAATAAACTATTTTGACCAATGAAAATCGAAAATTTAATTTTTAGCATAGATATTCACGACGCTCAACTCTCGAAAAATTTAATGCTGCTCAGGTACAAAATTTGTACCGGAGTTCAAAGTAACTAATGATATACCGTACTAAGTTCTAGAAACACTAAGTTCACAAAAATGCAGGAGGCTGTGATGCAATCAACATGAAATACACCACAAATATGTATTTATTGTGATGCAATTAACGCGAAAGTCTCCACTAGAATGCAGGCGGTACGATGCAAGTACCGTACCACCACCAAAAACACAACTAGAAATTCTAATAGTCATTCTAATAGTCATTCTAATAGGTAGTCATTCTAATAGTCATTCCAATAGTCATTCTAATAGTCATTCCAATAGTCATTCTAATAGTCATTCTAATAGTCATTCTAATACTAATTTAGACTGCATGTGTTCAGGCGCGAACAGCACTGGATACGCCCCGGCCATGTGGTCTATTTCTTGGACCCAGGCATAGGCTGTACGTCTCTGCTGTAGGTCGCTCGGTAGGCCTACGCGGCCTCCCATTGTTTGTCGGCGATTCCTCCAGAGGCTTTGAAGGAACCGACTTGAGTGCAGGGATCCTTCTCGATAACGAGTTTCATGACCCAGCCAAACTTAGTCGGGTTTTTATGTACACGTAATACTGAAGAGAGGATTAGGATTGCTGTTTTAGCGCATTTTCTCATTTGTGGAAAGAAGACGCTGTTGTGCTCGTCATGTCTGTCTGTCTGTCCGTGACTTCACGCTTTCGTCGACGAGGAAATGCGCTCTCTGTCATTCACTGCAGTGAGTACGGAGTTATATTTTTTCAGCTAGTCCTGTTAATGCATCCCAAATTCCCAATGGTTGGTATAGAAAATCGAGCTTGTCTGAAGCCCCAATTGGTTAAACGCTGGCCTGTTTACAGGTGTTTTTTTTTGTAATTAGCATGAAAATTAATTCAATAAATGTTGTGTTTCTAGAATAAATGTGTATAATTAACTTGAGCTGTCCAAGAATAATGTAAACCTGCCAAGGATAATGTAAATGTACCTGTTTACCGTCGAGGGCGATGTCTGAATAGGAGCCTGAACCCTATATAAGGCAAGAGAATATGTGAACATTTTGTGTACATGTTTTTGTATGTCAGTTTATTTGTCGAATATGTTCAGGGAGCAAGAAGCATCTTACTCCCAAAGTTTCGCGAGGGACTTGGAAAACATTTCTGCTTTTTATTGACAATTAGGAATGTGAGTTAAGAAGTAGTCAGCTATTTTAATTGATTTTCAACAAAAGCTATTGATCTAGTCAGTGCTCCCTATCAGAGAACAGGTCAGTGCTCCTTTACTTTACAGTAAATGCTTTTCATTTGAGTCCATGGCAGACGCCGCATGAACAGGATTTATTACTTTCATTATATATTTTATGTTCTAATCACCAAAAATGTAATTAAAACGAATTCTCCAATCGAATTATTCCAAGCTTTTCTTATAAAATTACAGAATGAGAAAACCATTCACGAAACGCACAAGAAATACATTTTATAATTGTTTGTTGGTTTTTCTATTATTATTATTATAATTGTAATTGGGTTTTCTATTTTACTCCTAATTTTGTAGTTATTATATCAACTTATTTAGGGTTTGCTACATACTACATCCTGCTTCCAATACACGTGTCGGATTGCTCTATTGAGTGCTTAGATGTAATTGACGTGCATTGTGTCCGTGCTATAGATTGTTCGCTGCTACCTGGCAACAATCGTGTGCTAATTCACGACCTGATGGTTAGTTGACACGTAATTATCTAATGGAATTGAACGTTAATTTGTAATTGATGTCCTGGCATTGGACACGCCACCTTCGTAATGACAGACCACCATAATTGTACTTACATTTCTAATTCCGGCCTATACCTATCAGTGGGGAGGCCTATACCTATCAATGGGGAGGCCTATACCTATCAGTGGGGAGGCCTATACCTATCAGTGAGGAACTATACCTATCAGTGAGGAACTGTACCTATCAGTAGGAAACTATACCTGTCAGTGGGAACTATACCTATCAGTGGGGAACTATACCTATCAGTGGGGAACTATATCTATCAGTGAGGAATTTCACATCAGACCCTGTCACCGAGACGAAAATTAACGAGCCGCTGTCGCTGCAGCTTACTTTTGTAGATTTGTTTACTTTATAGAAGTATATCTTTGAATAATTTCTTATTTGTTTATTTGTATGTACAATAAATGCTGAATTTTATTCTAAAGACACTTGGTAGGATGACCGATTATATAGAATATATAGTAAATTTATATATTATATTGTATTAAATTATATTATATTATTCTCTATTATATTACCTATATCATATTATATAATGTTATATGTATATTATATTTTATATTCATTGCACCGAATATATTACGGTATATCATATAAATACTTCGCGTTGATCATTTACTATAGTCTGTCGGTGATTCTTCGATCGGATAAGAATTTTTGTGACAACGTAAGCTTTAGTTGGTTACTTTATCTCGTAAATATACGGATATGGGCGAATTAGATCCCTTTAATCATTTTTGAATTGTAACGTGAACGTCCAATGTTTGTTACTAGAAGCCAGTCTATTCATTGCACCAGTGATCGAGCTGACATCACTAAAGAATTAATTGCATGCGTATGGGTGAAATTAACTCATCAATTCCACCATTGATGTACAGAATTAATCATTATGGGTCGATTCAACCACCGTATACCTCACCAGTGACAGGGAACGGTAATTACACTTACGACTTACCTATACGTATAGTATGGCATACGGTGCGATCACTTCACGCTCGTCGATTGTTCTGATAATTGACTATAGGGAACATCCGCTTGTATTCTTTAGAAGCAATGCCTGCTTTTCAACGCCACAAACATGCCTGACATTGACTTATAATTACAAGTAGTGTCTTTTACGCCGAGCTGCAAATGTTGCTTCTTGATGAGCAAGGTTGACGTATACATTAACTTGAAAGTTGCAGCTTCATTTTCAATTTTTATTTATATATAATTCGGATTTAAGATGACCTGTCAATTTATCTCGAAAATTTACCATCACAAGCTATGAAGTAAAAATTTTGAAATTATTTTACGTTACAAATTTCTAATAACTTGAAGTTTTTGTG